AGCATTGCGTGTTGGACCTTGCAAGTTGCGACTGTCCTTGAAAGTTGCGATGTTGTTGATTGATGTTATTGCCCTGCAGCTGTTTTCGCTTCACATCTAGAAAACTGCGCGTCAGTCCCACTTCCCACAGACATTACTGTGCTACCACAGTAATTATGTCGTCATGGTTGGACGGCATGGGCCGTCAGGAGGCACGGTTTCAGCCAGGCGACCACGCTTGCTTGGTGACGTGGAAGTCCAGCTTCTTCCCGCTCTATCAGCTTCATTCGGAGATACTGGAAAAGTTGGAGCAAGCCATCGTGTTTCGCAAAGGGAGCCCCATCTGCATGGAGGAGTTCAGGGATCTGCGAGTGTTCATTCATGTGAACAGCGACGATTATCTGGAAAGACATTACACAGAGGAAACTGCAGACTGGTGCAATCACGAAACTCGCACTTCCTCAGTGCAGCAGTGGATCGAGCATCGGCCTTGGGTTCAGCTGGTGCAAGGGCCCACGAAGAACCTGATATGTGCCATCAACGAGTACAAGTGGAAGCATTATCAGTTGCGGTGTGTGGTGTATGACATTCAACGTGCCCCTTATGGTGGAAATTATGGGCCCCTTTCCCATGCTTCCTGGGAGAAGCGCTTCTTGATTTGGGGCTGGCAGGACGAGCTCGATCGCGTGCCTGACCTGGTTGAGTGGTCCCAGGACTATTCCTCGATACTTTGCCTGCCAATCAGTGACCCCGTGCCAAAACCACGGGTGATGCTGAAGGCCCTTCACAGACGAGACGTTGACATGATTCGCAGGTTCATGCCACTTTCTCTCTTTCCTGGCAACGCCATCTGGCATCCTGATGACATCGAGCAGATCACTGCAGTAAAGCATGAATCTGATGCAGAAGGAGAGGACGCTGACATGCAGGTTGAGGATCCGGAGTTTCTATTGGTCGACACCGCCGACCAGGTCCCTGGCACCGAGTGCGATCAAATTGGCCGTGTCCAAGTTGGACCCATCATCAACAATTCGCCATGGCACCAAGATCAGCGCGCAAAGCAGCGTGCTGCCGCCAGCTGCGGAAACGCAGCTGCTGGAACTTCAAAACCAGTCACTGTGTTCTCCTCTGAGTAGAGACTGAGACAGGCCCGCCGCCAGCCACAACGCACAGTGTTTTTGAGGCTGAAGTTGTGTGGCCTTGGATTGAAAAAAATGCATCGAGCCACGGAGTGTGGTGTTCGCATGTGCATGAGCACTGCTAGGCTTTGTTGTGGTGTGAGTGCACGGGCATTGCTGCTGCTTGTCGTCCTGCCCTTGACTTGCATCGCCGCAGTCATTAAGGCCCGAGTTTTGCCGAAGGTTTCCAAACATGTCGTCTGAACACGAGAGCACGGTGATTTTCGGCAGTCGGGCTGACCTTCGCGCAGAGCGGAAACGCAAGCGTGATGAGTCGGGGGACTGGGACGAGCTTAGCCACCCAGACTTGCGGAGCATTCTGCAGCAGAAGGAGCGGCTTGGAAACATTTTGATGAAGTATTACCCCACGCTCCTCCATTTACCTGCGGATGCCATGCCTGAGACACCGCCTGTTGGCAACCATTCCTACACGGTCAAGCCTGCAGGATGCTGCAAGATTATGGTTAAACTGGACAACTCAAGCTTTGTGGTGAAAGGCCTTGGACAATCACAGAAGTTTGGCTTCGGGATGAAGTTCTACGTGGGGAGTGCCGACGATTTGCCACTGAGTGAGCGAGTTATGCCAGGGCTTGTCGCAGTGGCTTGGGCAGAGGCCCAGGTCCTGGCAAGGAAGTGGCAGCAGAAGAAAGATTCCGAGCAACCTGATGTCTCGCCCAGCTGCGATGCAACAACTGAGCCATCCCCCAAGGATGCCTCTTCCGGAAGCGAAACAACACTGGCTTGGGGGCAGTTCAGCCCTGATCGACTTTGACTCCAGTACAGATTGGATCAGGTGTTCAAACAACTGCGCCCCCGCAGTTGGATGCCTTGCTGTTTTCCCAAACGGTGGTTTTTGCAAGCTGCAATTGCTGCTTGCTTCTTAGCAGCAACATGGTCGGGGAGACATGCAATTGACATGTCGCGGGGAAAGCTGAGAGTCTGAAAAAGGAGCCCGCGTGAGTTTCAACAGCCACTGCGTGGCCATGTTGAAGCCCCCCGAGTCACTCTGCGCAAAAGATGAGGGGGTCACTCTGCGCAAAAGAATAGGGCAGGCGGGATTTGAACCCGCGACCTCCCTACCCCCCCGCGTGTCCGCAGGTTGGTCCGGGTACGCTGCCATTGCGCCACCGCCCCTTGCTCCCTCTGTGGCAACTTCGGGGCCTGAACCCGGCCTGAACCCGGGGCCCAAATGGAACAGCTTTTCGGGGCCCGAATCCGGGACCCGAATGGAACAGCTTTTCGGGGCCCGAATCGGGGCCCGAATCAAACAACTTTTCGGGGCCCGAATCCGGGACCCGAAAGGAACAGCTTTTCGGGGCCCGAATCGGGGCCCGAATCAAACAACTTTTCGGGGCCCGAATCCGGGACCCGAAAGGAACAGCTTTTCGGGGCCCGAATCGGGGCCCGAATCGAACAACTTTTCGTGGCCCGGGCTCTTGGCTGTGGATGTTTCTGGGGGCTCTTTGGAGGCCACCGTTCTGCACATTTGTGTCCACCAGCCATCTTTTCGGGGCTCGAATGGTATACGACTTTTCGGGGCCCGAATCCGGGACCCGAATGGAACAGCTTTTCGGGGCCCGAATCGGGGCCCGAATCGAACAACTTTTCGGGGCCCGGGGCTCTTGGCTGTGGATGTTTCTCCAGGGACTCTTTGGATGCCACTGTTTCAATTTGCACATTTGTGTCCACCAGCCATCTTTTCGGAGCCCGAATGGTATACGACTTTTCGGGGCCCGAATCCGGGACCCGAATCCGGGACTCGAATGGAACAGCTTTTTGGGGCCCGAATCCAGGACCCGAATCGAACGACTTTTCGGCCCGGAACTCTTG